TCTATAGGTCATGGGGTTGAGCAAACGGAAAGGTCGGGTGACACTCAATGAACCAGCGCTGACTTTGGGGTCAAAGGTCAAGGACAACACAACTCCCACACACTCCTGGCTTCCTTTGGAAGCAGATTTTTATACTACATCTTATCTCAAAGCATCACGGTAAAAAAGCCATAGCAGCTCTGGTTCCTCAAAATAGTTAACATTTACTGAGCACTCACTATACCCCATGTGCTATGCTAAATTCCCTACACACCTTACTTGGTTTGTAAGCTTCTACTCAGCTATTTCAGGCAGGAACAATTATTATCCCCATTTCTCTCTTGGCATCATCAGGCACAGAGCAGTTAAGTGACTCACCCTGGATCACACTGCTAGCCAGTGGAGGTGTGAAGACTTGAACCAGGGTGCCCAGAGCATGTCCATCTGCTGAGGCCAGAGCCAGAATCCAGTCCCAGAAAGGGATAGTTTATCTGGAATGTGAAGCATTTCATCCCAATCTCTACCAACCTGGCCTGGAGTTAGGAGCCAGGCATGATGTTTATCCAATTACTTCATCATCATTTCTGGACCATGTGCAATAGGTCTGACTCTGTGCTAGGCACTAGGGATTCTGCACAGCACAGGACAGGCTGCGTCCTGCCTCCATGGACACTGACGAGGACTGAATCGGGAAGGAGTGAACACTAGGAGTATGAGGATGGAGATGAGGGCCAATTCGCTCCTCTTTCAGGCTTTATCGCTACCAGGCATCACTCACTCCTAACCTCCTGCCTTCAAGGTAGGCAGACGTCCTGATCCTCCCCAGATAAACCCACCTACGGCAGACTCTCCCCTCTTTGCAATCCTCCACCTTGGTGGGTAACCTGGGTAGCTCCTCTGATGATGGTCTCACAGTCCAGGACATGGATGCATGCGTGCTCAGTCTGACTCTTTGTGACCCCATGGACTATAGCCCGGCAGGCTCCTCTGTCCATGGGGATTCTCCAGGCAAGAATACTGGAGTGGGCTGCTGTGCCCTCCTCCAGGGAATCTTTCCTGACTCAGTGATCGAACCCACATCTCCGGTGGCTCCTGCATCGCAGGCAGACACTCTACCGCTGAGCCACCAGGAAGCACCTCGAAGTCCAGAAGCAAATGTAAATAAAGCAGCCTCTCTTCTTGCCACATAGCTTGACAACCTGGCTTGCTGTGGATACAGAATCAGGATCTGGCCTATTTACAACTACCTTCTTTCACCTGCCAGGGCTGTCTCTCTGTTTGAACATCCATCAGCTCAACAAATATTAATTAAGGTCCTACATGTGAAAAACAGAACACAAACCCAGGGAATACACAGGACACTAGAGCCTCCAGGATTTAAGAAGGAAGAGAGAGAAACAAAATTGAACAGCAGAAGAGGCCCTTTTACATACCCTCTGCTGCCGACCTAGCAGTAAAGGAGGGTGGGGTGGGGAAGGTATTAGCTTCTTTTTATAAACAAGAAATTGGAGGCTGAGAAAGGATAAGTAACTTGCCCAGGGCCACAAGCATACAAGTGTAGAGCCAGGATTTTACTCAAAATCTCTGTTCTCTCTAGCCGACCTGACTCCAAGCACACGTGAGCACACACACAGGACGTGGGTTGAGAGTCACCCACAGACTCTGAGGACGCTGGTCATTCCCAAAAGATGGGCGTTCAGAGCTGGGGCCCCTAGAAAAGATGGCTTCAGTTATCAGCCTCCAACATCAGAAAGACTGTAAAATCCAGTAAACTTGCCCAAGCCACGGCAGTTTGTGTCTTGAGGCAAAGGAGCCCAGCAGGATGAACTCTGCACTGAAGCACTCTTTGAAGGGACAAGCCGTGGCCAACCCAAGGCAGGTTCTTGAGTCATGCCTGCTACCTGCACAGACTTCTACCAGCATCTGCATCAGCCTTGGCGTCACCCAAGAAGTCATTTAATCTGATGCCTGTAAGGAGCCCTGAGGGGTGGGCAGGGCAAGCAGGAGGAGGAAACAGAACGGAAGGGCCACGGGGACAGAGACCTGGCCTGTCTACCTCATGGCTGCACCCCCTCTGCACCGGGATCCCAGCCTGGCCCAGAGGTGGGGCTCCAAAAGTACTTGCTGAACAAACTAATAAAAGCTTCAGAGAAGCGAAATGACCGGCCCAGAGTCTCACCCACAGTCCAGGTTGTCTGGTCTAGGACAAAACACAGGGGTCTTCAGCCTCCTACCCGGTGGCCTCTGTATCTCACAGCACCACGACCTCCTTCTGCCCCTCCTCACCCCCACCCTCACTCTCCCGCCTCCATCTGGAACAGTTGGCCTCTGTCCTACTCCTTGGCTCTGGTCCCACTCAACCCTCACCTCCCAGGGTCAGCAGGGAGACTGTCAAAAGCACCAAGTTACTTTAAGTCTGATCCTCCTGTTGTAATGCCAATTCAGATCCCCACCAGCCTGCTGAGAACTAGGGGAAATGTACAGAAACTAAGGTTACAGAGACTTAATGGCCCAGAAAAAAAAAAAAAAAGCTGTGGACCAGATTCAATCAAGGCCCAGAGCTTGTGGGCCTTCTCCACCAACCCCACCAAAGCAGGTGTTGGCTCCCCTTGGTCCGAGATCTTTGCAGGCTCTGGGTGCCAGAGCCAGCTTTCTGGCCTCCTTCACCAACTAAGGAGCGAGTGAGGGGAAGCTGCCTGGGGGAGCACGGCTGCAACCCAGCCCTGCCATGCAACTGTTTGGACGCTAGGCTGGTTACTTCCACCTCTGCACTTCATTTCCTCATCCTCCTGCTGCCCGGCTCCCAGAGCTGCTGGGAGTAACAACTGAAATAATATATACGATTAGAACAGTGCCCAGCATACATCAGCCAACACCAGCTCTTGGAACTATGGAGTTTGTCCCTGGGTAACCAACCTTCCCAGGTGACCCTGTTCCCACTTGGCTGCCCAAAAGCCTGATGCACACCCACTATCACCCAGGTCAGAGTTCTGAGTGTGTGTGTGTGTGTGTGTGTGTGTGTGTGTGTGTGTGTGTAGGGAGAGAAAGAGAGAACTAATTTTTCTCCCCCACTGCTTTTAATATATTCACTCATTCATTTGATAATAATGAATACCATGTGCAGGTTCAATGCTTAGTCCCACAGTCCTTAAAAGGACCTGACTCCTAATTCTTGGGCAGTCCTGTCATTCCACCTGGCCAAGCACACAGTAGGTGCTAGGCAAACAGAAATTTCTACTCTTCTCCCCCCCACCCACAGAAGACCCCCCCAAATATCCACCACACACTAATCCCACTCCTCCTGTCCAACTTAAAATCTATTCCCAAGGAAGGTGCACCTTGAAACTCCCGAACCTTTACCCCCATGAGAATCTCCAGATTATTCCATTCTCAACTCCCCAACAGTCCAACTGACCCAGGAGATAAACCAGGTGAGGGAGGGACTCACCTCTCCCCCAGCCCTCCCTGAGGGGCCCGACAGGTAGAGGGGGAGGGGTGTTTAAGTAACTGCGGCAAGGAAAAGAAGTCGGCTAGAAGCAGGGCAACCTTCTGGTGCGGCTGAAGAGGGCTGGGCCCAGCAGAAGCCAAGACCCTGGGGCTCAGGTCGCCCTGCTTTGGGAAGCCCTTTGTGCGCTGTTTTAAATTACCTCTGCTTGTCTGATGAAGTGAGTAAAAGGGCGCCAGTTTCAGGGCTTAGGATTCCTGAGTGAGCTAATACAGGATGCCTTTGGCTGAAAAAAAACTTCAGTCGGCTCCCTAAACTCCCCCCCCTTTTAAGTTTAAAAAAGGGAATGAATGTTACCATTTTTGGACATAAGCGTTCTCCCTCAAGCCCAGCCCTAACCGCACTATCCAGGGGGACGCGCCATCCTGTGTGTCCCCCGCCCCCCCATTCCCAGATCAGCCGAGGGGTGGAGGTGGGGGTGGTGGGGGTGAAGAAAGGACCGGATGGGAGGGGGCCGCGAGGGAGGAGGGAAAAGGGTGTTCAGGGTACGTGGCCGCCTGGGGTAAGAGCTCACCGCGCAGGCAGGAAGCAAAGGCACGGTTGGGGCGCCCTCCCCCCAACAAGAGTGGTTTCTGACCTCTTCCTGCCACCGGCCACTGTGCCCGGGTCCCCTCGCCAGCTTTGAGCCCAGCCCGTGGGAGAGCGCGCACCCGGCACGCGGCCTGGGACGCGCCTCGGTGGCTAAGCATGGAGCCCCAAGGACTGACCCCAAGTATCCCCAGAGACAATGCCTTGCCCTACCGAGCCCCTCAACTCAGATCAAGTTGCCCAAATTCGCCATCTCCCAGGAATGAGCGGGGATCGGAGAGGCAGGACGCAGACGCAAGCTCATCTCGGGTCGCAGCTACCAAGCACTGAGTTAAGCAATAAAACGGTTTGCCGCCCTGACCCCGCCTCCACAGGGCCCGTTGGGGAGCCCGCTTTGGCCCGGGTTCTCATGGCCCTAACCCCATTCCGGCAGGTCCACCTCCACACAGACCCGGAGGGGGGGTGCCAATCCCGCCGCGCCCGCTGCCCCCTCGGCCGGCGGACTGGGGCTGGGAGGACCCATGCAGCTTGTCCCCTTCAGGTACCAAGGCGACCCAGGAAGCGCGCTGCCACCGCACGCCATATGGAAAGGCGGTCAAGGGGCGGGGAAGGGAAGGGAAAATCGATCCGGAGCTAACTGCCACCGAGCCCGGGGCTCAGACCCAGCCTCCGGAGCACCGCCCCCGCGCCTCGCCCTCGCGGGGCCGGTGCGACTGCAGCCGGGCGGCCAGGGCAGCCCGCCCCAAGGCGACCTGCCCGCGGGCGGCCCCACCTCCCAGCGCTCAGCCTCGGCGTTCGCGGGCTCTGGGGCCGGGGCGCTCCCCCTTCCGCCCCGCGCTTGTAACCCAACACCCCATCTCGCGGCGGCCGCGCATCCCCCGCCCCCGCTCGTGCGCGCCTGGAACCGGTTCGCAGCCCAGAACCCCAGAGCCCCGCGAGCCGAGCTGCCCCGGGCGGGGGGCTGCGACGGGCCGCGGAGGTTGCTGACCTTTCTCTGCTGCTTCTCCCACGCTGGGTCCAGGAGCAGGTCTCGATCCCAGTCCTCTTCGGGCTGCATGTAGTCATTGGTTTGCTGGGAATCATAATGGTCCATGATGGATGGTGCGCGCGTGCTAGGGGCTGGATTTCTTCCTCCACCTTCTCTCCGGGCGGCGGCGGCTGCGGCTTGCTGCCCCGGCGTAGGGAGAGAGTCGGGACGATCTGGGCTGGGGCTGGGCTAGGCTGGGCTGGGCTGGGCTGGCGGGGCCGGGCTAGCTCCCCTGCACCCGGTTCCGCCGCGGCGCTGCTGGCGAAGGCGGCGGCTGGGGGCGGCGGCGGCTGGAGCTCGTGGACTGCCTGCCTCGCGCCGGCGCTCAGACCTAATCTCCACGCACACTGAGCGAGGCGGACACACTAGCGCTGCGGGCGCAGAGGCGGGCGGGGGCGAGGGGCAGGGGCAGAGCCCTCCGGAGGCTCTCCATTGGCCAGGCCGAGTTGCCCAAACTTCCCCCCTCCGCCTCTCATTGGGAATTCCTGGCATCCGTCAGCCAGGCCGCGGCGCATATAGGTGGACTGGGCGGCCCCCTCCCGGCGCGCACGCCCCCGCCCACTCTCCGGGTTCCCACTCCCCCGCGCGGCTCATGTGACACCAGCTTAAGCTGAACGGGACCGAAGCCGGGGGACGCTTCGCCAAGCTCGGGGACCGAGCGACTGCGCGCTCGGGAGCTCCAGGAGGAACTGCCGGGGCATTGGACACGCTCCCAGCCCGCAGGAAGGCCCGGTACTCCGTTGCCGCGGCGTCCTGCGCTCCCACGAGCGCTCCAAAGCCCACAGCTGCCAGGGGATGGAGGACCGACGCGAGGAAACCCGAAAAGCATTTCATTTTCTGTTTCCCAGGGTCCGGAGAGATCGGCACCCGGAGAAGGGGGGCGGGGAGTGCCGGAATGGAAAGGAATTTGCTGGGAATTTCCTGATTCCGCCCCCGGCCCCGCCCGGCGCGGCCCGACCCGGCGGACCCCTGCCCTGCCGGAGCCAGGTTTCTGGCCAGCTCTCGGCGCTCCGAAGCCGCGCAGCTTTCCCGCCTCGCCGCGGGCTCCTTTGCCGCCCTCCCTTGGGCTCAGGGTCTAAGTCGCTCAGCTCCCCGGATTCCCGCGGGCTGGCAGGGCCGAGCTATCCTTATACACACCTGGGCAGCACCCTAATAGCTCTGAGCGATCTACCTATTCCACGCCCCCTCAACACACACCGCTGACCCGATGGAGAAACTGAACTTCCGAGAGATGAGCGTAAAAGGGGGAACTTAGCGGGTTCTCAGAGCTCCACAAGCCAACCCTGTAACCTTATGCCGGACAAACAAAGCCTTATTGTTATTGGAGAAAGGAGGGCAAGACCGAAGAAACACCTTTAGGTTCGTGGAGCCTGCCTGCTCCTCCTCCCTCGGGCCCAGAAAGAGGCGGATCCCCCAGTGGGCTCCTCTGAGAGCGCCAGGACTGAAGAACAGGAGCCAGGGGCCTCCAGGAGCATACTCTGCAGAGAGTAGTGTTTGATCCGTGTGTGCCCCTGAAAGATGCCTGGGTGTACTGGGGAAATTCAACTGACAGTTCAGAGGTGACCGAAGGAGTTAGAAAGGGCCATGAATTAGGTTACCTGAAAGGCCAGCAGATGGGAAAGTGAAAAAAGTGCCTGTGACTCCCAGGGGAGCCAGCTGAGGCTGTCGGAAGCAGATATGGGTGACGTGTCACTCCCTGCACCATTAGTCCATCTCGCACATTTATACAAGTGTCCCCGGTCAGCACTGTGCCCTCCACAAGTCCCTGGCTGAGGAAGCACTGCTGCTGAGCCACGGAGACAGCAGATTTATAGACTATTTTATATCCACTTGTAAACTATGGCTCTAAACCTGATATTGAGGGTAATGATGGTGCTGTAGCGGTTCATTCTCTCAATAAATATTTGTGGAGCCCCATCCATGTGTCAGGAGATGTGCTAGATGTTTTGTATCTAGAAATGAAAAAGACACACTCCCCCCTGGCAGTCCAGCAGACACACACAGAAACAAAAATATACTGCAAGGCGATGGATAGTTCCCCAGCCAGGGGACTGTAGGGGTAGAGAGGATGAATTTTGAACCCAGCATAGGAAAGGAAGCTCTTTTTGGAGGAGGGGAAATTCAAGTGAGTCTTTAAGAACAAGAGTCAGCCAGACAAAGAGAAGAGTGGGAGATTATTCCAGGCAGAAGGAACAGTGTGAGCTAATACATGGAGGCAGGAAGCTGTATGGTATAAAAGGAATGCTAGCGTTTCAACATGGCTAGACTAGAAATGCAAGGCCAGGAGGGGCAAGAGACAGGGCTCGAGAGGTGGACAGCAGCCAGACAGTGAAGGCCTTCCCTGCCGCATGATGTGAGGGTCTGAGGGGAATAAGGCTGGCTGGAAGCTGTGACAACCAGTTGCAAAGGAGTTGTAATAATCCAGGTAGTGCTGGAACCAGAAGTGCTCTAAGAATGTCCAGAGTCAGCTGTCCAGTAAGCAGATGATGGCACAGCCCTGACTTGAGGGGAGACAGAATCTGAGAGTCGTCTGACTATGGATAGCATGGACAGCATGAGAGGCTCCAGGGAGAATGCCTCAGTGGAGCTAAGAGTGCCCAGCTGAACCCAGAGGAGCAGGACTTAGGAACTGTAAAGAGCAAGGACCCCTGGGGAAGACAGGAAATGGTCCACAGAAGCACAGGAAGCCTGGACAACATGGGGTCATGAAAATCCAGAAGGAAACATCCAAGTGAGGGGCATCAGCAACATCAGATATGGCAGAAAAGCCTGGAAAGTAAGGCCTGAAAAGTTGTCTCTGAAATCATGCAGTATGCATACTTTGGTTTCTGAATTTTTCACTAAGTTTAATGTCTGTGAGATTTGTTTATGTTGTGGCCTGTATCAGCAGTTGATTTTTTTTGTTTGTTTGTTTTCTTCCCGTGTAGTATTGCATTGTATAAGTATATGCTAAGTAATTTACCTACTCTCCTGTCATTTGTATTGTATACAGTTTGAATCTATGAATAAAACTGCTATAAACAGTTTTGTATTTTTATGTGTGCTTTTGGTGAACATGTTTCTCTTGGAGAAATAATTTCTCTTGGAGATATCACATATATATCACATCCAAGAGAAATTATTTATATATATATATATATATACATATATATACCTAGGAAGAGAATTATGTCATACTATTGTATAGGTATATGTTTCATTTTAGTGGATATTGCTAATTTTTCAAACCACCTAATAATTTACTCTCCAAGCAGCAGAATGTGAGAATTTCAGTTGTTCCATGTTCTCCCACCACTCAGTGTTATTTTGTTTTTAATTTTAGTCTTAAAGATTGGTGAGTAGTGGTCTGTTTTTATGGGTTTAATCTGTCATATACTTACTGACCATTTGAATCAATAACTCTCATTCCCACTGCCATTGATAATAGCAATTTATTTTTTTAGCTGCTTAAGATAACATATGCATAGTTTATTAATTTCCCCAAATTCAATTAGTTCATTCAACAAATATTTATCAAGTAATTGCTCTATAAAGATACAAAAGCAAAGAAGAAAGATGTGGTCCTCTCTTAGAGGAGGTAGGAGATGCTTAGCAAATATTCCACAAATGCTTGTTTGGGGAGGCTGTTCGGCCCCTTGTGGGAGCTGTTTTGTTTTACATTAGAGCAGGTCCATTATGACTTTTCAATAAAAATGTTTAAGAAAAGCAGCTCCTTTAAAAAGAAATAGGGACTTCCCATTGGTCCAGTGGATAAGACTCCATGTTCTCAATGCAGGGAACCCAGATTTGATCCCTGGTCAAGGAACTGGATTCCACATGCCACAATTAAGAATTCACATGCCACAACTGAAAAAAAAAAAAAAATTTCACATGCTGCAACAAAGATCAAAGAAGACCTGGCACAGCCAAATAAATAAATTTTTTTTCATCTATTTTTATTAGTTGGAGGCTAATTACTTTACAATATTGTAGTGGTTTTTGCCATACATTGACATGAATTAGCCATGGATTTATATGTGTTCCCCATCCCGATCCCCCCTCCCTAAATTTTTTTTTAATAAGGAAAAAAAAATAATCCCCGGGGTCATGGGACAACCCACGTAGAGTAAGGGAAGATCATGAAGGAAAATGGGAGGGTTCATCTGGAACAGCACTGATTCCTTTCTCCCCAGAGGCTCAGCCTTTCCAGCCCCTTTTCCGTCCTTTTGGACTTCTCTGGATGCGATGACAAAGGAACTGTGATTGTGGGCAGAGGTCTTGCTATTCTATAGGCCAGTGGGTGTGAATCGAGACTGAAGGAGTCTCAAGTCAGTGGCTGGGAAAACACTCGGGTCCTTTCCACCAGCTGGGGCTTTCTCTCCCCAGCTCCTCGAGGAATGGAACTCCTGGCTCAGCAGCAGCTCTGAGAGGCTAGCTTAGTCCATTACCAGCACTGCAGGCAGCCCTACTCCAGCCAGTGATGAGTCACCGGAAAGCCACAAGTGCTTTGCAGCTGAAAGAACCTAGCTCTGGCGTCGATGATCCAACTTCCCTTGGAAAGAGGGAGGAATGGTGTGTCTGTGAGTCCTGGAAGTGCTTATCAAGCCCCCACTTTGTGTCAGGCAGAGTGCTAAGAGACTCAAGAGGGGTCCTGGTGTTCCCAAGCCTCCTGGTCTAGCTGGGACCGAACCACAGGCTTTCTCCCCTAAAACGCATCCACCCAACAGATAGTCACCCATGACACAGTCTGCAGATAAAAATGAACTGGATTTAAAAAAAAAAAAATGAACTGGATTGACATCTGCCAGGAATGTAAAGAATGCAGAGCTCCAGCCGGAAGCCTGTCCTGCCACAGCCACTTCAGTGCTCCTTAGGCCCATCTTCTTCTGAGCCTGGAATTGACCACACAAGGCCCTGTGGGGAAACACGCAAGTGGGATCTGTAAGATTCTGGAAACCAAAAGCACCACAGACCTCGCAAGCCCAGAGATCTGGGGCTTTCCTTCACTGTGTCCTGAACCTCTGACCTTACAGACTAAGGTTTCTTATGGGCTTCTCATAAGGAATGATTGTGTCTGTAGAAGGCTAGAGGAGAGGGGAAATCACTCACCAGCAATTGAACGCATTAAGTCACTCTCCCCGAGCTTCTACAGCACATCATTTGTAACTGAAAAGAGCTTTTTTTCTTTTTTGCTTTGCTTTGCTTTATTGTAGTCCTTTGCCCACATTTTATCTCCTACAGCCCTTATGCAGTCTTACCCTTCTACTTCCCCCCAACAGCCTACCACAGGGCCTAGAACACAAAAGGTCCAACGCAGCCTTTGTTGAATGAAAAATGACCTGAGTCAAATTTCATCTCTGGGCCTCGCTTTCCTCCTTCAACCTGTGGGAGGCTTCGCCATTGTCGACATAAGCATTTCGTCAGTCCTGGAACTTCCCCAGAAACCAGCTCTGGAGAAACTGACCAGGCCATCATCCTTCTCATCCCTGCAGGCAGCTCTCAGCCCTCAGGCCCAAGTCCTCAGCCACCAGCAGCCAGATCCTGCCCCTCCCACCACAGGCTCATCAGGGGAGGAAAGAAGATGGTGGGCAGAGTCCCTCTGGCAGAATCTTGCTGGAGCAGGCGGAAATGTTTCTTTGGTTCTCATGCTCTGCCCAGCTCTCAGGTTTTAGATCTTGGGTGATGGAACATCTAGCTGGTTTGGTGCCCTTGTTTTCATCTTTTTTTGCATATATCTCTCCCCCAAAATCCAGGTGGTGGTGGTTTAGTTGCTAAGTCATGTCCGACTCTTGGGATACCATGGACTGTAGCCCGCCAAGCTCCTCTACCCATGGGATTCTCCAGGCAATAATACTGGAGTGGGTTGCCATTTCCTTCTCCAGGGAATCTTCTCAACCCAGGAATCGAACCTGGGTCTCCTGCATTGCAAGGCAGATTCTTTACCGACTGAGCTACATGGAAGCTACCCCAAAGTCCAGGGGTCAATCCAAATAGAAACCTCAGAAATCTCCCCCTCAGAAAGCCACCCTGAGGTCAGCTCTGATCAGGGGACAGTCATGCCAGGTGGGTTCCCCAACCTGAGCCCTCTGAGGAGGGTGGGGGTCTCTCCCCAGCTGCCTCTAGTTCCCAGCAAATACCAGAGTGAAACACTCAAGTCACAACTGGGAAATTCCTGGTGACTAGTACCCCCCAACCCCACCCCCTTGGGAGGGGTAAGCTGACCTCAGGCTAGGGGAGTGAGTTCCTCAGGAGTTTTATCAATCCTAGCTTACCCCACTGGTCTTCCACAGAGGCTGATCCTTAGAGGCCTGCTCCGGTCACTTTGGGAGCAGGTGTCCTTAACTGAACACAGGATAACATCAGAGGGGTGAGGGTTGGGTGTCAAAAGACCTGAGCTCCTCAGTTTACTCACCGGCAGACTGGGAGAGCTGGACTTTGTCTTTAAGTTCTTTAAGGTTTTAAGCTCTGAGCCCTGTTCTAAGAACATCCTTAGGCTCCTCCTTCAGATCTTCAATGACAAAAGGGTTTGAGCCTTGGGAAAGTGTTTCACAATCTGGAATACAAAGTAAGTCCCTTTATAAAGGATACAAATTCTCACAAAGTTACTTAATTTTTGTTTTAATGGTCCTTAAATGTGCACAAATATAAAACTAGGCACAATCTCCTTAAAGTTTACCATCAAGATAAAATCAAAACAAGGTTCAGTTCAGTTCAGTTCAGTTCAGTCACTCAGTCGTGTCCAACTCAGATTCTGTTTAACAGAAACAGCAAAACCAATAAGATTTAAACGAACCATTTTCATTTAAATGTGACGGTTGCTGTTTGCTGAAATTAAACTACGACTCCCAGCATGATGTAAGTTCTGACTGTGATACAGCAGGTGTTTTTTTTTTTTTTTTGCTTTCAGGAGGCCTGTATCACAACAGTGCCAGACGATGACTCAGTTCTCCTACTAGTTTCTCTATTTGAACCACTGATCAGGGCATCATTTAACCTTCGTTTGGTGAGAACACACTGTGATGCACTAAGTTCCCCTCTGCTGTTTTCTCATTAGCACTCTGCAATTAAAGTTTTAAAAAAATTCTTTTTAATCTTTTTGCCAACAGGAGCCATCTCTCAAGTTTCAATGTCCTTACCTCTAACAGAAGAAGAATCACCTTCATCCCACCTATTTCCCAGGATGGCTGTGAACATCCATTTGCTGTGCTTTTTGCTCAGTCATGTCTGACTTTGAGACCCCATAGATTGTAGCCCTCCAGGCTCCTCTGGACATGGGATTTTCCAGGCAAGTATACTGGAGTAGGTTACCATGCCCTCCTCCAGGGGATCTTCCCAACCCAGGGATCGAACCCAAGTCTCACATTACAAACCAATTCTTTACCATCTGAGCCACAGGGAAAGCCCAAGAATCCCTGCTCCAGGGGAACTTCTCGACTCAGGAATTGAACCTGAGTCTCCTGCATCACAGATGGATTCTTTACCAGCTGAGCTACCAGGGAACCCCATTCATTCATTTATCCAACCATTATGTACTGAGTACCCGCTCTGGACCAGATACTGTTCTAGACACAGAGGATATAGCAGGAACCAGAATGGACAATATCTCTGCCCTATGAAACTCACACTCCAAGGGGAGAGACTGAGAGTAAGATAAATGAGGAAAATAATATGATATTATTCAGGGGGAAAAAATTAAGGAGGGAAGGGGAATAGAGTGTGTAGGGATCTGATATATGGGTTTCCCAACACTATCAGACAATTCTCCAACACCAGCTAGATGTCCTCCACATAATTTACCTCAATTCTGACACTATCCACCTGGAAACAGCATCGTAGCCCACAGGTCAAGGCTGAATCCTAGGGGACTTCAGATGCCAAACAAAAGCCTGGGTTGCCACCTGTGTTTCTGACATACCGGCTATGAATTCTGAGCTTGTCACAACGCCGTCTGAGCTAGAGTGGCTCAGAGAAAATATTTTCCTTACTAGATTACCAGTTTACTGCACTGCTACTGCTGCTGCTGTTGAGTCACTAGGTCATGGCTGACTCTGCGACCCTATGGATATAATTCAGGAAGAACTAGATGGGAGAGGTGCATAAGGCAAGGTATGCAGGAATGGGTACAGAGTTTTTAAAGCCCTCTTTGGGGAACGTCGTTCTCCCCAAATCTCTATGTGTCCGCCAACCCAGAAACTGTCCAGAAACATACCCCGACATCCTGTCCTTATTGGGATTTTGTGGAGGCTTCATTACATAGGCATGATTGATTAGATCATTGGGCACTGGTGACTGATTCAACCTCCAACAGCTCCCACTTCCCTGAAGGTCACGGGAATGGGGCTGAAAGTTCCAACCCTACAATAACACAGTTGGTTCCCCTGGCAACCTGCCCCCATCCTTAGGTGCTTTCCAAAAGTCATACAATTAACATAAACTCTAGTGTGGTTGAAGGGGGTTTGTTATGAATATCAAGACATCTTTATTGCTCTTACCACTTAGGAAATTCTGAGGGGTTTAGGAGCTCTGTGCCAAAAACAGGACAAAGAGCAAATATATATTTCTTATTATAAATCACAACATCAGAGGGGAGATGTAGAGAGCGGTTACTCTTTTAAATGGGGTGTTTGGGGAAGGTTTCATTGAGTAGGGAATATTTAAGACCTAAATAACATGAAAAAGGAAAAGCATTTGAGGAACAGCCAGGAGGCTGGCATGGAATAATGTGTGTGAGACTCATGAGGAAAAGTACAGGGCAAGTGTGGGTATAATAGATATTCATTGTTTCTCTGCCCAGAAACCATTTCCTCTCCTGGCAACGGTACCTTGGCTTTCCTCTAGGGAGGCACCTCCTCTACCGCAGGCCCTGTGCTGCAGGTAGAGTTGACCACACCCCTAACCACCAGGGCTGAGCAACAAAGGGCCAATCAGAGCACAACGATTGGCTTGGGCTGGGTGTGAGAGCCAATCAGAATGCATGACTGGCAATGAGCCTGTTGCTGGCACTGCTGGGAAAGAGGCACACAGTCTTCCCCTGGAGATCCCAGCAATGAGAATGATAGCAGCCTGGAGCTTTCAGGAGCTACATGGAACCTAAGGGGGAAAGCCAGTGCAGAGGATGGCAGTTCTAAAGAGTGAGGAAAAGCTGAGTCCTGGTGACGTCTTTTGATTCCCTGTATGAAGTTGTACTACTTCTGGACTTCTCAGTTGTGTATGCTAATTAATTAATTTCCTTTTTTTGCTTGAGTTGGCATATCGGATTATTTATTGATGCATAATAAAGAACTGCAAGACTGGCTGAAAACAATAAACATTAACTATCTCACAGTTTCTATAGATCAAGGGTTGGGAGTGGTATAAGCTGGATGGTTCTGGCTCAGGGTCTCTCATTGGATTTCAGTCTGGATGTTAGCAAAGACTCTGACGGCCTGACTGGGCTTTCACCCATGTGGCTGTTAGCAGGAGGCCTCAGTTCTTTGTCATTGAGCTCTCCGTAGGCTGACTGCGTGTCCTTACACCATGGTAGCTGACTTCCTCCAGAATGAGTTATTCAAAAGAGCAAGTGAGAAGGGCCTTTTATGACCTCAATTCTGAAGTGCACATTGTCACTTCCACTTATTCTCTTTGTTAGCAGTGGGTTACTAAGTCCAGTCCAGTTAGAATCATTACTGTTACTGATTCCCTCCCACTCGAAGGGAAAGTATCAGTCTTTACCTCTTGAAGGGAGGAGGACCACCAAAGAATTTGTGGACCTATTTTAAAACCACCATACCTAGTTCGAGTTTGGTTTTCTGTCACTTGCAACCAATAGGCTTCTGATAGATATTCAGGAGTTTAACACTATTGTATTAGTGTTAGCTGTTGTGTTAGCTGTTGTAACATGGCTTGTGGCAAAACAAACGAACAAAAACCCAGTAGCCAAGAGAGTGGCAACTAAGCATATCTTATAAATGCCAATTTGATCCTGTCCTACCTAGGCTCAAAAATCTCCAAAGGCCCTCGTTGTCCTAAAGTCCAAATTTCTTTACATTAGGCATAAAGTCCACAAAAACCTGTCCCTGTGTCCTCACTCCCACCAACTCCCTGCCACAGAATCTCCAGGCTGCTTGCTCTTTTTTGAACAAGCCGTATTTCCATGTCTCTATGCCCTTGTCTGTGCTGCTCTAACTTCTTCCTGTAGAACTCTGCTCATCTCTAAAACAACTCAAACATCACCTCCTCTGTGAAGATTTGTTTGACTTTACTCCCCAAAAGGATAATATTATTTTATTGACGTCAGTGTTAATCGCTCAATCGTTTACAACTCTTTGTGATCCCATGGACTGTAGCCTGCCAGGTTCCTCTGTCCATGGAGTTCTCCAGGTAAGTATCAGGTGCTTCATATTTGTTATATCCTGTTCTTAAATCCATAACCCTGAATGTATGTGATGTTTCAATCTTCCCATATTATGCCTAAGTTCAGTCACCTCCAGAGAGGTTGAGAAATGTGTTTATGGTCATCTAACTGATAAGCATTAGGACAGACATTGGTACACTCTAGTTAGTTAGTTATTCCTTCCCCTGCTCCTAAACCACCACGTTCATATACACTGAGTACAATTACAGGTGACTCTGGCTGTCCTGAGACACCATGAACTTCTTCGGGCACCTGGACCCCCTATCTTGTACAGTGATCCTTCATGGAGCATTTCACTTTATGTGTTAGACACACTGATTAATGTTGTCCATTTTCCAGATAAGGAAACAAAGCCTCAGAGAAATTAAATGATCAAGGTCTGACTCTAGACTTCATGCCCTTATAGATAATAGTGCATTAGGCATAGCTCCTGGTGTGCGTTCATTGGAAGGCATGGCTGAAAACTGGGCAGCCCCCAGGCACCCCACCCGCCCACCATCTCCAGCTGGGGGCTGGGAGGCTACTGCTTACCTGCCTCTGGTTGAGCAGGAGTTGGAGGGGTCGGGGGCTTACAGACACAAAAAGTGGAAATGCTCCAATGGGAAGCCAAGGGCCAGATTCTGGTGCTGACTCAGCTTCCATCCAATCAAGTGATCTTGGGTGGGTCTTTCCATCCCATGGGGCCTCCTTTCCTAATGTCAATTGAAGGGAAAGTGGTAAGATCCCAGCAAGCCATGTCAGGTGGGATTTGAGATGACCCCACACAGCAAGGGGCAGTCCAGACCCCTGTGGGGCCCAGGACTCCTCTACAACTGGCATGATGCTTGCTCTGGCTACCAAGGTGGACCTCTGCCCTAGACTGAGTGAGTATCCACCGCCTGTGGGCCAGCCCAGCTTCTCAGGGCACCACTCATAGTCTTCCATCTCATATAAGAAGCTGAGATGAGCTTTCATTCCACATGCCTCACCTTAAATGTATTCAAGTTAAATTCTAGCTGCCATTCTTGTCCTTGTCTGGGAACCCAGAGGAGATGAAGTCCATCTGGAGTTTCTCACAGGGCTCCACCGCCTTGGCCAGCCAAACTGTGTTTGGATCAACAACAATTTCATCAACTTATTTCCGCCTCCAACCCTTACTAAATGCATTAACCCAACAGGAGCCCCAGGGCTGACCTTTGTGGCATCCATTGTTATGGCTATTATTAAAGACACAAACAAATAGGGATAATAATTCACAGTGAAATGGTTCTTTAACCAGAGGGCTGGAGGACTCTGAAACCATGACCTCATGGCCCTCCTGGCACCTTCCCACCAGGCTTTTCTTCAGGTCTCTCATCCACATTCTGCCTTCTGGGAAGCCGTTCTCCACATTCCCTCTCTATTTTGGCTCTAGCTTAAGACCATGTTCCCAGGTTCCAGTCTGGAGGAGAAGCCTCATAAAGGACACTATCCAGGACTCAAAGATCTTCCTGGCTCCCATTTGCCTTATCATTCCACATAAATCACTTACTGACCTGTTTCTCTAGATGCTCAGAAGAAAGAAGAATTATTAACAGTGAGTGTGTTGAAGTGTTTTCAAACTAAGGATAGGGACTTCCAAGGCGGTCCAGTGGTTAAGACTCCATACTTCCTCTGCAGGGAGCACAGGTTAAATCCCTGGTTGGGGAACTAAGATCCCCACAAGCCACTCAAGGGTGGGCAGGTGGGGGGCAAATGAAGGACGGAAAAAGAACCTAGGGTAAACGTAATTTTGAAGCTAGTATATTCCTCACTGTGGCTGTTGGTTCCCCCTGCTCCTGGCTGAAAGTGAAAGTCAGTCATGTCTGAAGGTCCATGGAAATCTCCAGGCCAGAATACTGGAGTGGGTAGCCTTTCCCTTCTCTAGAGGATCTTCCCAACCCAGAGATCGATCCCAGGTCTCCTGCATTGCAAATGGATTCTTTACAAACTGAGCTATCAGGGGCCCAAGGTCAAGTACAAGCTATCCTTAGAGAATTATTCATATAAACTTAATTGCTGGGCACTGCTACTGATATCTTTATTTTCTTTCATTTCTTTTATTCTTCCTTCCTTTCCTTTCTTTCTACCATCTGCAAGTCAGAATACATTCACTGTCACATCAAAACTACCCAGTCTAGGGCAAAGAAGAGGTTAACCTACCCCCTAGATCTCTCCAAAATATTTTGGAAACTACAGCAAGTCAAAATGTGTGAACCAAACACCTTTCCCTGAATTATCTTGAACATAAACCTGCAGGAGAAGATTATCTGAAGTGAGAAAGGAAAGTACAAAGTGGTAGGAAAAGAAATGGAGATTAGAGTCTCCAGGAAATACAGCCTTCTCTACAAAACCATGGTGTGGCTTGACAACCAAATGAAATAATGTGGGTTCTGAGATATTTTCAAGTGTTTAAAAAAAGAAGTGACTGCAGAATCAGGGAAGGCCAGCATGTGTGTTTAACTCCCCCATAAATATCGATTTGCTC